CCCCGTTCAGACCAGGACGGGGCTCAGAGCCCCCCCCCTCTGCCGTTCAGGCCACGACGGGGCTCACGAGCCACCCCCCCCCCCCCGCCGCTCAGGCAAAGACGGGGCTCAGAGCCCCCCCACCCCCCCCGTTCAGGCCACGACGGGGCTCAGAGCCCCCCCACCCCCGTTCAGACCAGGACGGGGCTCAGAGCCCCCCCCCTCCGCCGCTCAGGCCAAGACGGGGCTCAGAGCCCCCCCACCCCCGCTCAGGCCACGACGGGGCTCACGAGCCCCCCACCCTCGCTCAGACCAGGACGGGGCTCAGAGCCCCCCCCCTCCGCCGCTCAGGCCAAGACGGGGCTCAGAGCCCCCCCACCCCCGTTCAGACCAGGACGGGGCTCAGAGCTCCCCCCCTCCGCCGTTCAGGCCACGACGGGGCTCACGAGCCACCCCCCCCCCCCGCCGCTCAGGCAAAGACGGGGCTCAGAGCCCCCCCACCCCCCCCCCCGTTCAGGCCACGACGGGGCTCAGAGCCCCCCCACCCCCGTTCAGACCAGGACGGGGCTCAGAGCCCCCCCCCTCCGCCGTTCAGGCCACGACGGGGCTCACGAGCCACCCCCCCCCCCCCGCCGCTCAGGCAAAGACGGGGCTCAGAGCCCCCCCACCCCCCCCCGTTCAGGCCACGACGGGGCTCAGAGCCCCCCCACCCCCGTTCAGACCAGGACGGGGCTCAGAGCCCCCCCCCTCCGCCGTTCAGGCCACGACGGGGCTCACGAGCCACCCCCCCCCCCCGCCGCTCAGGCAAAGACGGGGCTCAGAGCCCCCCCACCCCCCCCGTTCAGGCCACGACGGGGCTCAGAGCCCCCCCACCCCCGTTCAGACCAGGACGGGGCTCAGAGCCCCCCCCCTCTGCCGTTCAGGCCACGACGGGGCTCACGAGCCACCCCCCCCCCCCCCGCCGCTCAGGCAAAGACGGGGCTCAGAGCCCCCCCACCCCCCCCCGTTCAGGCCACGACGGGGCTCAGAGCCCCCCCACCCCCGTTCAGACCAGGACGGGGCTCAGAGCCCCCCCCCTCCGCCGCTCAGGCCAAGACGGGGCTCAGAGCCCCCCCACCCCCGCTCAGGCCACGACGGGGCTCACGAGCCCCCCACCCTCGCTCAGACCAGGACGGGGCTCAGAGCCCCCCCCCCTCCGCCGTTCAGGCCACGACGGGGCTCACGAGCCACCACCCCCCCCCCGCCGCTCAGGCAAAGACGGGGCTCAGAGCCCCCCCACCCCCCCCGTTCAGGCCACGACGGGGCTCAGAGCCCCCCCCCCTCCGCCGCTCAGGCCAAGACGGGGCTCAGAGCCCCCCCACCCCCGCTCAGGCCACGACGGGGCTCACGAGCCCCCCACCCTCGCTCAGACCAGGACGGGGCTCAGAGCCCCCCCCCCTCCGCCGCTCAGGCCAAGACGGGGCTCAGAGCCCCCCCACCCCCGTTCAGACCAGGACGGGGCTCAGAGCCCCCCCCCTCCGCCGTTCAGGCCACGACGGGGCTCACGAGCCACCCCCCCCCCCCCCGCCGCTCAGGCAAAGACGGGGCTCAGAGCCCCCCCACCCCCCCCGTTCAGGCCACGACGGGGCTCAGAGCCCCCCCACCCCCGTTCAGACCAGGACGGGGCTCAGAGCCCCCCCCCTCCGCCGCTCAGGCCAAGACGGGGCTCAGAGCCCCCCCACCCCCGCTCAGGCCACGACGGGGCTCACGAGCCCCCCACCCTCGCTCAGACCAGGACGGGGCTCAGAGCCCCCCCCCTCCGCCGCTCAGGCCAAGACGGGGCTCAGAGCCCCCCCACCCCCGCTCAGGCCAGGACGGGGCTCAGAGCCCCCCCCCCTCCGCCGTTCAGGCCACGATGGGGCTCACGAGCCACCCCCCCCCCCGCCGCTCAGGCCAAGACGGGGCTCAGAGCCCCCCCACCCCCGCTCAGGCCAAGACGGGGCTCAGAGCCCCCCCACCCCCGCTCAGGCCACGACGGGGCTCACGAGCCCCCCACCCTCGCTCAGACCAGGACGGGGCTCAGAGCCCCCCCCCCTCCGCCGCTCAGGCCAAGACGGGGCTCAGAGCCCCCCACCCTCGCTCAGGCCAGGACGCGGCTCAGAGCCCCCAACCCCCGTTCAGGCCACGACGGGGCTCAGAGCCCCCCCCCCCTCCGCCGCTCAGGCCAAGACGGGGCTCAGAGCCCCCCCACCCCCGCTCAGGCCACGACGGGGCTCACGAGCCCCCCACCCTCGCTCAGACCAGGACGGGGCTCAGAGCCCCCCCCCTCCGCCGCTCAGGCCAAGACGGGGCTCAGAGCCCCACACCCTCGCTCAGGCCAGGACGCGGCTCAGAGCCCCCAACCCCCGTTCAGGCCACGACGGGGCTCAGAGCCCCCGCCCCGCAGCTCAGGCCACGACGGGGCTCACGAGCCCCCCACCCTCGCTCAGGCCAGGACGCGGCTCAGAGCCCCCAACCCCCGTTCAGGCCAGGACGGGGCTCAGAGCCCCCCCCCCCCCCCCCCCCCCCCGCCGCTCAGGCCACGACGGGGCTCACGAGCCCCCCACCCTCGCTCAGACCAAGACGGGGCTCACGAGCCCCCCCACCCCCCCCCCCGTTCAGGCCACGACGGGGCTCACGAGCCACCCCACCCCCCCCGCCGCTCAGGCCACGACGGGGCTCAGAGCCCCCGCCCCGCAGCTCAGGCCACGACGGGGCTCACGAGCCCCCCACCCTCGCTCAGACCAAAACGGGGCTCACGAGCCCCCCCACCCCCGCTCAGGCCACGACGGGGCTCAGAGCCACCCCCCTCCGCCGCTCAGGCAAAGACGGGGCTCAGAGCCCCCCCACCCCCGCTCAGGCCAGGACGGGGCTCAGAGCCCCCCCCCCCCCCCCCCCCCCTGCCGCTCAGGCCTGGACCGGGCTCGACGGGGACAGAGCTCTTGCCTGGTCTCAGCCTCCTTCCTCATCGGCCCGCCCGAGTTAGGGCCATGCCTACTAGCAAGGCGCACAGCATTTAGCTTGGCTGACACTGTTCGGTGTCTGTTCGCTCTCCGTCCCTCCACCCTTTTCCCTGCGGCTCCGGTCCCTCTGTCATCCTGCTGTTCATGGTTTAAGTTGCCTTGGGTTGCAAGGTTGACGAGATCGGGGTTACTATGGGGTCTCTCCTCCACGGAGAGGCCTACAGGGCAGGGACTCTGTCCTCTTCCTGTTGGGTGAAAAATTACTCCTGGGGGATCTGGACTCTGAAGAAGAGGTAGTCTGGGAATGAGCTGTATTTTGAGACCTCCCCAGTCGTTCCTGCTTCCTGGGCATACAAGGAGGTGAGCCAGGCAAAATGGCAGAGGGCCCCGCCCCGATGGGCCGCTGTGCATCCTCAGGCCCAAGGGTACCTCGGAATCTCCGAGGATCCCTGCCGCCTCAGTTCATTCTTCAGAATTAGACAAGCGATAACTAAGAGTTATGTGAGAGGCAGAATCTCAGGTCGACAGAAGAGCGATTCGGTGAGAAAAAGGGCAGAAGGAAGAATGAGTTCGACTAGTTTGGGTGACCGAGCAGTTGAGCCTGATCAGAATGAAGGAGACAATAAAGGAAGTAAAGGAGGAAAGGCATTTGAGGCCAATTTGTAAGATGCCTTCGATGCCAGAATTTTTTTTTCTGTAGGTCACGGGGAGCACTAAAGTGATGTTTTAGGAGGATGAGGCCTCACGGTGTCCCATCCCACGTGTTCCTTTCACAACGTGGTGTGGCTGCTTCCCATTCAGAGGCCCTGTGTCCCCTTGCCTTGAATCTGGGTGGGCCTGTGACAACAATAGAAGTTAACACTGTATGACTTCCAGCAGTTGGTCATAAAAGATGATAGATGATAGATGTCTTGGACTCTTGGGATGGTCGTTCTTAGAACATGGAGAGGTGTTCTGCCACCAGCTCAGACGAGGTCCCAGCATCCCCTGCCTGATCCGTGAGTGAAGACTGCTGCCGATAGTTTTAGTCTTCAGTCACTGAATTTACCCCAACCCCCAAATCAGCTCCCAACGGGGGCCCAAGCATTTGTGGAGCAGAGACCAGCTGTCCCACTGTCTGAATTTATACCTGCAGAATCCATGAGACACTAGTGATTGAGATTTAAGCCACTAAGTTTTGGTTAAATTGTCACACAGCAATATACACACCTAGAGTTTTTATCTGCCTTTAAAAGGATGGACGTAGGTTGGAGAGATTAAGGATAAGAATGCCAGAAAGTAAGGTTCTTCTGCAGCCTGGAGGGGATAAGAGCCCAGACAGAAAAAACCACTTGCAAGAGCAGAGTTTTGCTGTGCACAGGGCACTGATCCCCAAATCTAGAAATGGGTTTTCTCCTCAGTGGTTGCAAGGACGAGAGACTGACTCTTGTAGAAATGCATTCCTTCCAGCAGTTTATTAAGGGTGTGCTAGGGGCCTGGCATGGAGCTAAGAACAGGAGATAAATACTATTTAATTTATGCCACCAAAGACGTGGGTGGGTTTTTTTTTTAAGTTTGTTTATTTTTAGTAACCTCTTCACCCAGTGTGGGGCTCAAACTCATGACCCCAAGATCAAGAGTCACAGGCTCTACCAACTGAGCCAGCCAGGCGGCCCTATGCCTCCAGAGTTTAAAACTACGCAGAACTGACTGACTGGAGATAAGCTAGGACAAACACCAACTGGTAAACTACCAGTGCCAGGCAGCGCATGTTTAAATATTGAGATAGTGGCCAGCAACATTTGCATTAGGAATTCAGTGAAGGAGAACCCAAGTAAGAAGGAGATCTGTAGAGTTTCATGGTGTAAGAGAATGAACAATGGTCTGGGGGTGAAATCCAAGATTCCATTCATTTTTCTGGTCCCCAATTTCCTGAAGAGTCAAGCTAGATTAAAAAAAAAACAATGGGGCGCCTGGCTGGCTCGGTGGGTTTGATCTTGGGGTCGAGAGTTCAAGCCTCACGTTCGGGGTAGAGATTACTTTAAAAAAATAATGACAAAATTTTTTTTTTTAAGATTTTATTTATTTGACAGAGAGAGACACAGCAAGAGAGGGAACACAAGCAGGGGAGTGGGAGAGGGAGAAGCAGGCTTCCCGCCAAGCAGGGAGCCTGATGCGGGGGCTCAATCCCAGGACCCTGGAACTATGACCTGAGCCGAAGGCAGATGCTTAACGACTGAGCCACCCAGGAGCCCCAGTTAATGACAAAATCTTAAAAAAAAAAAAAAAAAAAAAAAAAAAAAAAAATATATATATATATATATATATATATACACAATGCCTTAAATTTCAGAAGTGTAAGTGCTTTCATGTGAGTGATCTCATTTGATCCTGATACAGATGTGCTCACGCGTGCGTGCATGGTGGGTGGGAGAAGGAGAAGACTAGGACCCTGGCTCTGTAAGTAAACTCCTCATTTGAAAATGGGAATTAATCATTGCATTGCTTCTCTCGGGGGTTTGTTGTGGAGATGAAATGAGATAATGCATGTAAAATACTGTGATATAATAAGAAATACAGTTTGGTTTTCGTCCTGGTTCTGGGACAAAGCCTCTAAAACCCTTGTAATCTCCTGAATGGTAGGGGAGAGAGGAGTGTCTTTGTTACTCATCATAAACCCCTATCAACTACACCTGAATTTCCTCTAACGAGGCGACTCCACAGACAGAGCAGTGGTTGTTCATATATATTGAAAGAGACAACACTGAAAGGGTGTTTGAATGACCAGGCTTGTAGACTTGAGACGTCTTAGAGAACGGACAAACCCACAAGAATAAGTAAAGAGCCATTTAATAAATCATACGAAGAGAGACATGAAGAGAAATCAGCGAAGGAAACAGAAGTATAATGAACGTCAAGTACACGGTGAGCTACGGTTCACCAACATTACATATTCATATGAAAAGAACCATAAATGAGAGCGATTTTAAAATATCTGCTTAGAGACTTTCTTAGTGTCAACCTGATAAGTAACTGTGATGTTTAGGTAGCTCACTCAGGAGTTGGTGGCCTTGCCCAGAGGTCTTTCTTGGCTTCCTCGCAGGCCCAGTGCCTTCCAGCATCCATCTCTAGAGGTCCAGTTTCAACTACCCTCTCAAGCACATTAACACTTTTTCTTATGAACACTGTCTGTATCTTAGTCTGTGCCGTATCTTCTCACACCTTTCTCTTAGCGTACATTAATTTTGCAAACATCCTTTGAAACCAGGGGGAAGCGCTGTATCAGGTATAAAAAAAGGGATGAGAGACGAAAAAATAGTTTGATGTAGTCTCTGCCCTCTTAGGCTACGGACATACTCCAGGATACCAGGTGACGTGCCATAATGAAGACAAGAACAGTGGGGTTCTAGAGAAATGGAGCAACAGGAGGAGGCTTCACAGAATTGGTGCTGTGTTATCCAGGTGCCTGTGTGACGCCCAATTTTTAAAATATGTGAATCTGTCCATACACATGTGTTCCTTTCAAAGTTTAGCACAGTCACTGAGCTCAGGGCTGGAACAGTCCTTGAGAGATTATCTGACTCCAAACATCCTCCTGCATGTTTTATACATGAGGCTAGCTGGACCCCCAGAGAGACGTGCCTGCTCAGGGGGCACTTGCGTAAATTTAAAGAGTGGTCGTGAGATTGCTTGAAGGCCTTTGTGGTTTCACGGGCACTGGTCTGTTCCATCAGTTCATTTCTCACTGTGCAGGGAAATCCTGGGTAGAATGAGATTTGGTCCCCTTGGGTTTTTCATGATCGGAGCTCATGTGAAGGCTCCCGGGTCACATGGAGACCCCAGAGTCGTAGGACCTAGCAGTTTCAAACCAGATTTCTTCCACAGCCTTCTGGCCCATGTCGAACATCTGCTGCAAGTGCTTCCACCCGGTTTTTGCGGTAATCATGAGATAGTCTTTGTTCTCTGGGTGTAGCTGGCAAGAATATGCAGCGATGACGAGGGACTGGCAAAAGCGACCGCACACGAGGAGAAACAAGGCACTCCTCTCTACGGGCGTCAGCGGGATGACGCTCTCAAACCCTGCAAGGACGTGACCTCCCACGTGTACGGGACTCTTGCTCTCAATCATCATGTACATGATGGTGATGGCCACTTCAAACACATAGTAGCCGTAGCTCATGTCGCCGAAGTCCAAAATCCCAGACACTTGATATACAGCATCTCCAAAGGCTGACTTGCTGGACTCCACTAAAATATTATGGTCATTAAGATCTCCATGATTGATACCTACAAGGAGAAAAATCAAGCCATGGACAAACGGTTAATTCCCCAGCTCTTTCTCTGCCCATTTCCTGTTTCTCGGGCATGGCCACTCAAACGGGATGAGCAGTCAGAGGTAGAGTCAAACCCTATTTTTCCTGAAATGAAAGAATTTCCTCTGAAAGGAGGAAAAAGCAGTTAATTTCAGTGGTTGTATTTGCTTTCGCTTCTAATCAGTACAAGGCCAGATGATGCAGGTTGTGGTCGTTGCAAACCCCTGGTTCTGACTGCTAGCAGAGTGAAGGGAGAGGCAGAACTGCCCCAACCAGAAATATTTAAAAAGAATATACATATGTTCATATTATTATATGAAACAAAGAGTCCTAAGGGCACCTGGCTGGCTCACTCAGTGGAGCATACAACTCTTGATCTTGGGGTTGTGAGTTTGAGCCCCATGTTGGATGTAGAGATTGCTTAAAATAAAAAAATCTTAAAAAAAGAAAACAAAGAAAAGCAAAAGTCCTAGAATGGGCCAGATGTGTCTTTATTTTAACCTAGGATTTCCCCCCCCAAATTTCTGATGACAAATAATTCTGAATTTTCCCAGTCTTTTGATTACTAGATTAGATGCTGATATCCAAGTTAGTACCACTCAAAGTGGGGGTCTGTGGTCAGTGCTGGTCCACAAACTCTTACTAGTGTGTATGAGATAAAAACAGAAATTGAGAGTGTTTAGAAAAAATTTAGAGTGTTTATAGCAATTTGTCAGCTAAGAGCATGATCAGTGGACGTATCCCATTAACAGTGTATAGACCAGTTCGGTGTTATCGGATTCACATGATAAGTCGTATGTGGTGCAAGCTATGAACTGGTCATGAACAGTAGGATCATGCAGCAGGCTGCAGTGGGTTGGGGAAAAAAAACATACCTGTCTTCTATCAGGAACAGTCTGAGAAATTCTGATTTAAAACCCTGGCTAAGATCAGGGAAATCCAAATCAAAACCACACTGAGATACCACCTTACACCAGTTAGAATGGCAAAAATGGACAGGGAAAGAAACAATAAGTGTTGGAGACTTTGTGGAGAAAGGGGAACCTTCTTACACTGTTGGTGGGAATGCAAGTTGGTACAGCCACTTTGGAAAACAGTGTGGAGGTTCCTCAAAAATTTAAAAATAGAGCTATGCTATGACCCAGCAATTGCACTACTGGGTATTTACCCCAAAGACACAGATGCAGTGAGAAGAAGGGCCATATGCACCCCAATGTTCATAGCAGCAATGTCCGCAACAGCCAAACTGTGGAAAGAGCCGAGATGTCCTTCAACAGATGAATGGATAAAGAAGATGTGGTCCATATATACAATGGAATATTACTCAGCCATCAGAAAAGATGAATACCCAACTTTTGCATCATCATGGGTGGGACTGGAGGAGATTATGCTAAGTGAAAGAAGTCAAGCAGAGAAAGTCAATTATATGGTTTCACTTATTTGTGGAACATAAGGAATAGCATGGAGGACATTAGGAGAAGGAAGGGGAAAATGGGCAGGGGGAATTGGAGGGAGAGATGAACCATGAGAGACTATGGACCTGAGAAACAAACAGGGTTTTAGAGGGGAGGGGGAAGGGGGGATTGGTTAGCCTGGTGATGGGTATTAAGGAGGGCATGTTCTGCATGGAGCACTGGGTGTTATATGCAAACAATGAATTGTGGAACACTACATCAAAAACTAATGATGTAATGTATGGGGATTAACATAACACAATAAAAAAAATTCATGTATTGAAAAAATAAATAAATAAATAAAATAAAATAAAACCCTGGCTAAGGATTAGGAAGAGATGAGGGCGTCCGTAAGCATGAAGCATTTAGTCATGTCCTTTACGATAAGTGTGTGATAGAAAGTCCATAACATTCACTTCTGAGTATAATGCCGATTTCTTCTATGTGACTTGGGATTGTGTAAATCATGCCTAAGTAATTTAGCACAGTGGGTAACATGCAGAAACAATGAACATTATTGTAAACCACAGATTCTAGACAACACATTTGTGAAATTGGGAGGCATTATAGAATTGACGCCATATCATGGTTTCACTGGCAACGTTTTTTCTTCCTTAGCGGCAAAGTAATGATGCATCTTATGCAATCAAGTGGGATTTTAGAATCGATGAAATATGTTACTTCATGAATGCAATCTGTATTTATGCAAGTATTTTATTGCTTCTATCCACATGTCCAATGGCCTATCAAGAAATGCTAGAGCTAGTTAATGCCTGGGGAAAAAAATGACAAAAGTTGTTGAATTTGAGAATTAAAGAAACAGAAGGTGTTCTGATCAAGGTGGCAGAGTGAATTCATTCTTTGATACATAGTAATGATGAAAATAAAAAGAGAAAATAAAGATACAGCCAGCCTCAAAAACAAGATCGATCTATATACTAAAACACAGAAAAGGAATGCAGCCACAGTCTGTCTCCTGTGCTCCAGGTCAGCAATGTGCATTACCCCTTTGGGAGAACTGGAACCGGAACTGCTACCTGCTGGGTGTAGGAGAAGGCTCACTACATGATGCGAAAGGCAGTGGAAGGCCTACCAAACTCATAAAAGGATGACAAATCTGCTCCCAGTCCACTGCTCAGACTGCTGTGGGTCCACAGAGGCAGAAGGACAAAAGCAGAACCTTGAAACCAAATGCAAAACCAGGCTGCTGTGTGAATACATTCTTTGTCAAGTCATTCTAGTTACCAAAGTCTTAATTCAGTTTTGAGTTAGTTTCTTTTTTTTAAGATTTTTAAATTCTTTTTTAAGAAACACAACACCCAACATGGGGCTTGAACTTACAACCCCAAATCAAGAGTCGCATGTTCTACAGACTGAGCCAGCCAGGGGCCCCTCAAGTTAGTTTCTTTTGGCTCTTGCTCATGGTGCCTTATTTCCTTGTGTGCTGATATATAGTATGTTCTCTGGACCCAAGGCAATGATTCTAGAAAAATAACCAGAAGAACTACTATGAAGCAGGCGATGGGGATTAATGAGTGCACTTATGGTGATGAGCGCTGAGTAATACACGGAAATGGTGAATCACTATCTTGTACACCTGAAACTAATATGACACTGCATGTTAACTATACTGGAATTAAAACAAATAATAATTAAAAAAATTTTTAATTAAAAAATAACTTCTAAAACTGGAAAACATAATGAAAGAAATTAAGAATGCAGTGGGTGGGTATAACAGACTAGACATAACTTAAGAAAGAATCAATAAACTAGAGGACATGTTAGAGAATTATCCAAAATACAGCATGGGCACAGAAAAAATGAAACACACACATACACACACACACACAGATGAGAAGAGACAGAAGATTTAGTGAGAAGACCGAACATGAACTTAACTGGAGCTCAAAAGGAGGAAAGAGAATAGGGCTGGCAAGAATTTCCTGTAACTGATGAAAGACAATATCCACACACAGATTTGAGAAACCCAAGCATATTAAGAAAAAAAATCATTTAAGAAAAAGAGAACATCCTACAAGAACCCCAAAGGGGAAAAGGCAGGTAGTCTTCAAAGGAGCTACAGACCGACAGCTGACCTCTCAGCAGGAATGGAGAAGCTAGGAGACCCTGGAACCCTAAAACCCCAAAACCCTGAAACCTGAAGTCCTATAGGCTGTGAAATATTCTTCAAAAATGAAGAGAAAATAAAAACATTTTCAGACACATAAAATCAGAGAGAATTAACCATTAGAGAACTGCATTAGAGGACATTCTAAGGGATGTATTCCAGGCAGGAAACAAATGACACCAGGCAGAAAGCTTGAGGTGCTGAAAGATATGAAACCAATATATGAGTAAGTCTAAGCAAACTTGGCTATGAAACAAAAATAATAATGTATGGCCATGTCACTTTTTTTGGCCTTGACATATGAACAGAAGTGACATCACTTCAGGGCGGAGACGTAAGAGAAGGTGTACGGTCTCCTACATTCTCTTTCCCCAACTACAGCAACACTCCAGTTGGTGAAAGTTCCATGTATCTGGATCCCAAAGTGCGAATACACAGAACAGAACCCCGACCAATCCATGCCGGACATACAGCTGGACTTGGAACTAAATCTTTGCTATTGCAGTCCACAATAATTTGGGGGCTATTTGTTACTGCAGCAGAACCTTGCCTAGCTGATACACAGTGTGGTTTGGGAGCAGAGACGGGTAAATAGAACAGGGGAATAAAATAGAGAGCCCCCAAAACATTTGATTTATAGCAGAGGTGGTACTGCAAAACAAAGGGAGAAAAGATGGCTTTTTAATAAATGTTGGTGAAAAAGTTACCAGCCATAAGAAAAATTTACACCATATGTATATTTCAGATGGCTTATAGACCTATAATGAAAAGCAAAAACTATAACACTTTAGTAAGATAACATAGGAGAATATCTTCCTGACCACAAGGTAGGGAAAAATGTCTACACAAGGCACAAAACACTAACCATGGAACAGAAGATGGATATGTTTGAAACCAAGAAATTAAAGACTGTTCATCAAAACACATCATAAAGAGAGTGAAAAGGCAAGCCACAGAAGGGGACAAAATATTTGCAACACATATAACCAATGAAGGATTTGTATCCGGAAAATATTCTGAACTTCTAAAATCAATGAGAAAAATCCCAGTAGAAAAACTGACAAAAGACTTGACTAGGCACCTCACAAATGAGTTTATCCAAATGGCCAGTCAATAGGGAAATGTAGAGTAAAACCACAGTGAGAAATCATTACATTCACATCAGATTGGTGAGAGTTAAAACGTCTGATGATGGCAAGGGTGTTGAGCAATGAAAACTTTCACCCTCTGCTAGCGGTAGCATATGGTCGTGCAACCCCTTTGGGAAACTGACGTCATATCGTAATGCTGCATGTAGACGTGTCCTATGACCTAGCATGCATGATGTCATACACCCAATAACCAGATGAGAAATGAGGGTAGCTTGGGCCAAGCGGTAGTAGTAAAGGTGGGAGAAAGTAAAATTAGAACTGGTAGAATTTGATTGCATGTGAGGTGTGCAAGAAAGAACCAAGTTAAGGCTGCCAACTCCCAGGTTTTTGGCTAGATCAACAAGGTGAATGGTGGAAACCATTTTAATGAGACGAAGATGAGTTGGGGGTGCAAATTTGAGGGGGGAAATCAACTCTGTTTTTATGCGACCACCTTGCGTTATGTTTACACAAAGTAAATGCTATGGATGGAATTGTGACTGCCCCCCCCCAACAATTCATATGTTGAAGGCCACCCCACCCCCCGCTGTGTGGTGGTATTTGGAGATGGGGTCTTTGGGGGGGTGGGGCCCTCATGACGGGATTAGTGCCCTTCTAAGAAGAGACACCAGAGAGCACAGTGCTCTCTGTCCACCACATGAGGACGCAGAGAGAAGGTGGCTGGAGCCTGGGAAAGAACCTGACTGTGCTGGCACCTTGACCTCAGATTCCCAGCCTCCAGAACCGAGGGAAATCTGGGCCTGCTGTTTAAGCACCCCTCCGTATCCATACTTTGTGATGGCAGCCGGAGCTGAGCACGACTGAAAGCAGAAGCAAGAGGGAGCTTGCTGCCTATGTCAGACTTGCTGCAAGTGCCCCTTCCTTCCTTGTCCTTTGACCTGTGCTTCATGCCCTGTCAAAGGCTGCTTCCACCCCGGAGAAACTGTCATCCACGTCCGTAAGGAGATATGCACTAGCATGCTCACCGGAGCCCCGTGATGTAGCAAAAAAAATGGGAACCAACCTAAAATTCTATCAACAAGAGAAAAGACCAAAAATAGCACAGTACGTTCAAATAAACTATGGTACATACATGCTGTGGAATACTATTCAGCAGTTAAAATAATGAACTAAATAAATGAGCTGGAACTACATATACGAAATGGATCAATCCAGAAAACATAATGTTGACCAAGAAAAGCAGGTTGCAGGACAGTAACACCGTCTGATACCATCTGACGATGGAAAACATGCAAAACATTACTGCACATAATTTATGAACATGTATGTAGTAACGTTATTAGAACATGTGCAAATTCCGTAGGGAGGAAAGAGGTGTGATCATGTAAAGTTTAGAGAGAATTTCAGATGTGGAAATTTTACGGGAAGTAAAAGTACTATTCTTTAAAAACCAGCAGGAGCAAACACGGCAAAATTGTAAGACTTGGTAAAACTAAGTTGTATCTTCACACTTTTCTGATGCTCTGAAACTTGACAATTTAAATAGCAAGAAAAACATTTACTTGATCGGGGGATACTCACACTCTCGAAAATGACTTAGTTTGGTCAGGATTTCATCCTTGAACAGCTGAATGACCTGCACGACAATCTCCCGGTTTCGGTTCTGGCCCAAGGCATCCAGATATTTCTCCAGAAGAGGAACGTTTTTCAGATTCCAAATGAAGTTCTCCCGACGAAGACTACTTAACTGTGGGTGATGGAATTTCTAAATCAAAGACAAGAAACTCTCAGAGTCTGGACAGTTAGAGTGACCCCGAGGCACAGCTGGGTGGGCGAGAGACCGCCCTCCCAGGCCTGGTCCGACGTGCTCCGTTAACCCCCCACGGGATGGTGCTGACCACACATCTGAGCAGGCGCTCGTCGCTCTGAGGGCACGTCCCCATCTCGCTCGGTCCTCGTAGCTGTGTGACGGGGACTCCCCGGAGCCCCGGCAGGAGATGGAGACAGAAAGAACTCTGTTCTCCCCAGACGGCCTGCCCCTCGTTACCTGTCTGCCCTCACCTTCCACCACATTCGCAGACTCTCCTGCAACCACAATGGCCTCCCTGCTCTTCAGGACCACGCCTCCACGCCTGCACACCTCCACCCCACGGCCCCTCCGTCTGAAGCTTCAGCCCTCTCTCCAGTCCTTCGTATCCCTCTCCTCCGCTGAGGATTTCTTTCCAAGCTCTTAGCACGTGTTGCTAACACTCTCCAGAGTTCACCCTCTGGCCTTACCGTCTGTCCTCACTGGAACATAAGCCCCGTGAAGAGCCGGCGCTCCGCGTTTGGTCTGTCTGCTCGCCCCCTGCGCCTACCACGGTGCCTGGTTCACAAAACTCACTGCTCAAGCCATAGTTGCTGAATAAATGAATGTTCTCTGGATAGAAAATTCTAGAATGGCCAGGGCCTTTAGACTTGGGCCACTCTATCTGGAGTTCGAAATGGCTCTGACCATCACTGCACAGAAGGGGAAACTGAGTTCTGGATGATTGGGTGAGTCAGTATTCGCCGCGGGCTGAGGGAGCGCCTGAAGGTGCCTGGGCGGCCACCCAGTGGAGCACCTTTCAGTTCATTGGACAGGACTTCTCATGCAAGAAAGACACGTTCCAGGACAACCCAGGAGACAGGCAACACATACAAAGAAAAAACAAGTCTCCAAAAACGGTACGTGCACTATGACATGTGACATATTCTGGTGTTCTGTATTTTATTCTACTTCTTTAAAAACGTTCCTCTCAATTGACTTTGACATCCGTTCTCGAGACCCGGAGTTTGGACTCCCCTACCCCCCATGCTCCCACTATCACCACCACGTGCTCGCTAAGTAGCCTTGGTCGGAGCACCTCGTGCAGGGGGTGCTTTTTACGCCTGAACAGCTCTGCGCGCTCCCTTTGGCTGAGCTGAGCTCTCTCTCCACCAGCGTCCGTGCCCCGGGTTCCAGCGGTGACCTCGGGCCGTCTCCCACTGACTGCCACCACATAGTCCCAGATGGCCCTCCTGCCCCCCAGAGTCCCCTCCTCTGCAGAGCCAACCTTCCCAGTGTCAGGTCATCCTCATGTGACATGGCTTGACCCTCCTGACCACACGGCGCGTTGAGGGCCAGTGCAGGTCACAGGAACATTCTGCACAGTAAGCACAAAAATGCTGTAGAAGCTGTGCTCTTGGGGGGGTAAGAGTGGACATGACAGGGAAGAGAAAAGTGTTCACCCCGTTCGCACTGTTGGAAAGCTTTACCATGCGTATTTCTTACTCTCATTTTTAAAGAAAGTACAATAGAACGCTCTTGTCAGGCTTCCGAGGGAGCACCGGTCCACCCAGGGAAGGTTCTGGGTCCGCTCCTAAAATGGTGGCGCTGTTAGCCATGCAGCCCGCAGGAGAGGGTCTGGGCTCCGGAAGGAGAAGTGGGAGAGGACCCGGATCCAGCCCGGGGATCCGACACTCCGGGTTTCGGCAGGCTCTACTGCTTACTCTCTCGGATCTGTTTCCTGAACAGTAAAATCTGAGCATCAACACCAGCCTCACAGTCATCTTTGCTAAACGAAGACATGCAATAAATAAAGACCTCAGACATAATGGGCGCCCAGCACATGCTTGTTGAATGTGGACGTTGCAGCTTCTGGCCCTCGGTGCACCAATCCGAACGTCGGAGGGTGTCCTCACTACTACGTTAAATGTAAACATCCCAGAGGAAGGGCACTGACGGTCAGACTGGATGAACCAGCAAGACCTCACATACCCAGCCTACGAGAAACACTTCCAATACAAGACTGTGACAGAGAGCAGCCAAGAATTTCCTCCACTCGTTCCCAGGAGATTGTAAACATCAAGTCTCTGGGACAGATAGCGTAACGATCCCCTAAATCTTTTTTTTTTTTTTTAAGATTTTATTTATTTATTTGAGAGAGAGAATGAGAGAGAGAGAGCAGGAGAGGGGGGAGGGTCGGAGGGAGAAGCAGACTCCCTGCCGAGCAGGGAGCCCGATGCAGGACTCGATCCTGGGACTCCAGGATCATGACCTGAGCCAAAGGCAGTCGCCCAACCAACTGAGCCACCCAGGTGCCCACGATCCCCTAAATCTTACTGCTGGGGTTTTCCCAGCCCCACCCCTTCTCTCACTTAGCTCCTGCTAAGGCTCCACCTTACTCTTCTAAAACCCCAGCCAGAGGGGAAGACACTGTGGGCAGGCTGACCCCGTAGCCACGAGGGGGGCACAGCGTGAAGTCAGGGGAGGCTGGTGAGCTTTCCTCCAGGGCATGAAGCCCTCGCCTCCACAGGTCTCAGCCCCTGCCAGCCCCCATCTCTGATACTCCCCGTCTTCATCCCTCTGCCCTTTGTTCTAGGCTATGGAGGCTACCTCGTGATTGATGTCGGGGGAGAGGGCTGCCTCCCTGTGCGCTGGGCTGTGTCCCAGGAGACACAGGTTAGAATCCATGCCCTGCTCAGCCCCTCCTTCTCTCATTGCTGAACATTAAATCAATCACCAAATTTGGTTGGCTCTGTCTCCGAAATATATCTTGAACCTTTCCTTGGTTCAAGCCCTCAATCAGCTTTTATTTGATTATTCATTCGCTTCCTAGATGCATTCCATCCAGTCTGGCTCTCTGCCAATCTGTTCACCATATCAGTCCACAGAGTGCTATAAAGTCGAAATCTTTGCCTGTTTAAAAAACTCTCCAGGGGGCTCCTGGGTGGCTCAGTCGTTAATCGTCTGCCTTCAGCTCAGGTCATGATCCCAGGGTCTTGGGATCGAGTCCCGCATCGGGCTCCCTGCTCCATGGGAAGCCTGCTTCTCCCTCTCCCACCCCCCCTGCTTGTGTTCCCTCTCTCGCTGTGTCTCTCTCTGTCAAATAAATAAATAAAATCTTAAAAACAAAAAACAAAAAACAAAAAAAAAACCTCTCCAGGCTAGGGCACGTGATGTGATGAGCACTGGATGTTATATAAGACTGGTGAATCACTGATCTCTACCTCTGAAACTAATAATACATTATATGTTAATTAATTGAATTTAAACTAAAAAAAAGGAAAATAAAAATAAAAACCCTCCAAGCTCCCTAAACTCCTTAGTATCATACATGATAATGTATCTTATAATCTGACCACTGTACATCTCCAATTTTGCTCCCTGTCTTGCTCTCTTGGAAACCAGCAGCCACGAAGTGAGGATGTTGGGCCATCCCGGAGGATGAGAGGCCACGCGGAGAAGAACCGCAACCCCCCACCCCTGGGGCTGAGCTCCCTGCTGAGTGTGGCTGCATGCGTGACCCCAACCCACACCCCACAGAGCAGAAGGTCCACTCAACCCACAGAGACGTGAGAAATAAATCTGCGTTTGAAGCCTTAAGCTTTGGGATGGCTTGTTACACAGCGGCAGATAACTCGCACACAGCTCAGTAAGGCCAGCGACAGAAGGAGGTCCAAGTTCAGAAGTCACAAGAGGAGGAGCATGGGGAGAGAGGGGGCCAGGGGACATTTCACAGAGGGGGTGATGCCCGAGCCATGTGCTGAAGGACACGCGGAGTTTGGCTGAGCAGGGAAAGGTCCCGGTGGCTTGGAAAATGGCACGCGTGCAGATGCGTAAGACAGAATGGCCCCATCGGGGATCCACAAGGAGGGACGGGGAGAAGCGGCGGAGGGGGGCACAGATGGACGGATGGACGGAGGCCTTGAGGGGGTACAGGCAGGACGGGGCTCGCGGGGCCTCACACGGGGACCTTGGCCTCCACGTCGAAGCAGCGAGAAGCCACTGATGGGTTCCCGTGGTCGGATCTGTCATTTTAAAAAGTAACTCTGGACTGGCATAAAGAATAAACTGGAGGAAAAGCATGAATGCAGGGAGGCTATGGTGGTGAGTGAGGACAGTCAAGGCAAGAACGGAGGGCCGATGGGCCACAGAGTGGCGTGAAGTGTGGAATGAGCGGGATTCACGAGGGACTGGAAGTGTTTTACTCATACAAACTACTTCTTGGCATGTGTGTCAGCTAGGACGGGGGACCATTGCTCTTCCCCCAGAGCCTGGCACGTCGGAGGTGGGTTGTGGGCGGCTCTGGGGAAACACCTGTCTCCCACGGTGTCGCTTCTACAGAACAGATCGCCTGAGCATGCATCATTCCGCCCCACGTGTGACGGAGCTTCAGCTTCACCTCCAGCTCCGGCTGACCACACCTCGCTGGATGAGCACCGCAGGGGTGACTTTTTGAGTACAGACTGCTTTCAGGGAGCAGCATAGAGAATACCAGGACTGTCTAGAAATGTGGGCAATCTTGCCGAGACACCAGTGAAGCGCAGACCTGGGCAGAAAGAGGCCTCGCGGTCGTGAAATTCTCGCATCAGCGGCCCTATTCCCCTCCCTACACCCTTCAGGAGGCACCAGACGTAAGAGGGGAGTCTGACCCTGGGTTTATTCATTAAGTAAAATAAATCAAAATTAAACAAATAAACAATTCTTATAAACAAGCTAAGCCCCCCACGTCCTACCTGCAAGGTCTCATCCAGTTTGCCAGCAAGCCTCCCAATCTCGTACAGCAGCTGGGGGCTCCTGGGGGTCTCGGCAACGGGTCTTCCCGGGAGGTATGACAGCAGCCTCACCAGGTGGCTTGGGACTCCGGCGCCGCCATCTGGATGGAGGCAAGCACATCCTGTCAAGTGTTCTCAGGAAAACGGCCGGGGGCTGTCCTGCCTTGGTCATTATGACCCTGGAGAATCACAGAAGTCACCGAGCAAGAGCAATACACGTGCTTCGCTGCAGTGGGTCCACAGGACTCCACGAAGCTGGGCCGGACAGACGGACGGACCCCGGGCACCGACCCCGAGCACCACAGCCCCAGCCCTAAACATCAACCGCCTGCAGCAGAACGGGCTAAGACGCCTTTTCATGTGTTTCCACTGAGGACAGTGTGATAGGAGGAATGACAGCTTCCGAGGCTCCTGCAGGGGCCAGCTGGGAAAAGCCCGAGGGTCGGCACAGGGCAGAGCTCCCCCTCGGGGACGGGCGTGGGCCCCCGCTGTTTGGAGTGATGCAGAACAAGACAGAATGGGTGACCAGCTCAGTGGAATCTCCAGCCTTTAAAATACTCCAGGACTGCTCTGCATTGACTGCAGGCTCATCTTAGAATGTCAGCATTTACAGCGGAAAGGGCCTGAGTCCCACAGATGAGGACGTGCAGCCTCAGGAATGTGAAGCGGTGTGCCCCAGGTCACCCACACAAAAATGACAGAGCTGGGATCAGAAACCCCTGATTTCTAGTTCTCTGTTCCTTCCGCTCTTCCACAGCACCAAAATATACAGCTGGTCTGATGAGTAAAAATGTTTAATTATTGGGGCGCCTGGGTGGCTCAGTCGTTAAGCGTCTGCCTTCGGCTCAGGTCATGATCCCAGGGTCCTGGGATTGAGTCCCACATCGGGCTCCCTGCTCAGGGGGAAGCCTGCTTCTCCTTCTCCCACTCCCCCTGCTTGTGTTCCCTCTCTCGCTGTGTCTCTCGCTGTCAAATAAATAAATAAAACCTTAAAAAAAAAAAAAAAGTTTAATTATTTTTCTATTAAAAAAAAAACTTTCCCTAACTCCATGTGCCCTTAGTGAGTCATTCATCAAGTCCTTTCTTTCTTTTTAATTTATCTGAGAGAGCAAGCGAGAACGCGTGCAGGAGGGGCAGAGGGAGAGGGAGAGAGAGAATCAAGTGGACTCCCGGCTGAGCGCCGAGCATGGAGCCTGACATGGGGCTAGATCCCATGACCCCGAGATCAAGATCCTGAGATCACGACCTGAGCCACCCAGGCTCCCCAGTCAAGTCCTTTCTAAGGGGAAGAGTCACAACAGATCCGCGCCCCAACTACTTCTGAATCAGAGCCCCCGATCTGCACTTTGGGGATGCTGTGCTTCCCCCGGGCCACTGAAGAAATAGCCACGTCTGGGCGCCTGGGTGGCTCAGTTGGTTAAGCAACTGCCTTCAGCTCAGGTCATGATTCTGGAGTCCCGGGATCGAGTCCCGCATCGGGCTCCCTGCTCAGTGGGGGGTCTGCTTCTCCCTCTGACCCTTCCCCTCTCATGCTCTCTGTCTCCCATTCTCTCAGATAAATAAGTAAAATCTTTAAAAAGAAATAGCCACGTCTACACTTGGAGCTACGAACCCATTCTCGGTATTTCTACTTGTAGCCAAAATGCAGTAATGTATGTGGACGGGGATGACCAGCGAGGTGCTGGGCTCTTACCTACGGCCATGAGACCAGTGAGGTTGCCGGCCACAGTGTGACGCACAGAGGCCGTTGGGAACCCAGCAGCTCTCAGAAACATGGTGACGTGATTCTGCACTTCAATCAGCTCTGGAGTTTTGCTGGACTCGGTGTTGCTTATTTTGAGAACGTACTCAGTTGGCCCATCTGTAGTGTCTTTGGTACTTGAAATGCACACGTGAAAGTTCTGGTCATCATAGCTAGGAAGCGGCTGGATCTTGGAAACTTTTAACCCAAATACCGATTCCACTAATGCAGAGGCTTGTACGTCACTGAAAGTAGGTTTGGCAAGAGCGTGCGATTGCTGATCATCTCCATGTGACATTATGTCTAGGGAAAACAAACAATCTAGGAAGAGGACACACAATGAATACGTTTACTTAAATGATTTTTCTTAAGACAGGCCCATCATGTTGCTCAATATTGATTCTATACTACTTATTAATTTTCACTCATAAAGTTAAAAAAAATCAAATTAGTAAATGGCATAAAGAAGTAGGTGTTTGGGCAGGTGAATAAATTTTTTTTAAAGATTTTATTTATTTATTTGACAGAGAGAGACACAGCACGAGAGAGAACATAAGGGGGGGGTGGGAGAGGGAGAAGCAGGCTTCCCACCGAGCAGGGAGCCCAATGTGGGGCTCAATCCCAGGACCCTGGGATCATGACCTGAGCCGAAGGCAGAGGCTTAACAACTGAGCCACCCAGACGGCCCATGAATAAATATTTTTGTATCATAGATTATTTTTAAAGTCACCTTGCAAAGAGAAGGTAGGAAAGCACCTGGTATCCCCTAGTCCAATTCCTACTCTGCTCCCCCCAGCAACAGTATTCACAGGAAAATTGAGGTCGCGACGGGTGAAGCACCTTGCCGAGACACACCAAGTTACAGTAAGGACTCTGTTCTCGAGACTCCTAACCCGTGGTTCTGTCCCTTTGACCACGTTACCGTCAGCTTGGGGCTAAAACATAAATTCAAATACAGTGATCTTACTCTACTATCCACAAGTTTTGCTGAGTTATAACCTCACCATCTAGCTCATCGCGCACACTTCCAGTATAGGAGTGTGGGCTGGTGCTCAGAGCACCATGAGAAGCACTGGAGGAGATGCCAAGATGCACTTAGGGGGCCTCTGGAACACGAGGCAAGTCAGCTCATGGTCACAAATATCCTAACAGTGAAACACTCAAAAGCTGTTCAAAACAACCATCATGAGGCGGTTATAAACTGAGAATGCCAAAGAACCCTGACCTCAGTATAAGCCTGAAGTGCATGAATTAATACTGAACTGATTCAGTTTACCTTAAATTGTAAAGAATAAGTTTTCTACAGCCAAGTAGAATAAGGGCTGGAAATAAAAATTATGGGCAGTTATATGGGGCTGCCTGGCTGGCTCAGTGGGTAGAGTGCATGACTCTTGATGTCGGGGTTTTAAGTTTGAGCCCCACGCTGGGTACAGAGATTACTTAAAAATAAAATCTAGGGGTGCCTGGGTGGCTCAGTCAGTTAAGTGCCTGACTCTTGATTTCAGCTCACGTCTTGATCTCACAGTTGTGAGTTCGAGCCCTGTGTTGGGCTCCACATTGGGTGTGGAGCCTACTCAAAAAAAACTAAAAAAAAAAAAAAAAAAAAAAATTGCACACACTCGGCATCCCTCAAAAGCATCTACATGATCTAGATACAGCAGAGCAGGGCTTCTGAACATACTTCAAGAACCAAATATTGAAGTTCCTTGCATGCTCACTTCCCTCTTTTTCCAAAATAGCTTTATTCCAATCCTCCCTTCATACTAAATGGTAAATAACTAATAACATCTTGGGGATGGGTTGCATTTCAGGGCATGATTCTGATTGCTGTTCAAGGGATGTAGTGTTATACAAGAAGAATCTCAAGAAGAGTTAGCTCTTATCCATAGAAATCAGAATAGCTATTGCTTCTGGCTGGAAGGTGGATGAGGAAACTTTCCAGGGGAACATTTCTATATCTCGACTATGCTTTGGTTACGTGGAAGTATACATTTGTCAAAACTTAAAACTTAAGTAAGCATAAGATCTGTGAATCTCACTGCTTGTAAATTTTACCTTAAAAAAAAAAAAGTCCCTGTGAGAGATTGGCAAGGACAAGGGGCTGAGGGTGGGCGAGGTCTTAGGACTTTCTCAGAGCTCCCAAAATCACACTGTTCCCCGTGAATGTCTAATCACTTCAGATCTATGAAAGCCAAAGCTCACCTTACTCCAGTGACAAGAGGGGGATAAAATTCAGGGAGGAGCCCTGGGGCTCTCCCATATGACCCCCTCCCTGCCTCAGCCCTGAGTCTATTGCCTGATGACTCAAGTGATGATAAGAATATTAGCCAAGGGGCACCTGGGTGGCTCAGTCAGTTAAGCATCTGCCTTCAGGTCAGGTCATGATCCTGGGGTCCTGGGATTGAGTCCTGAGTCGGGCTCCTTGCTCAGCAGGGAGCCTGCTTCTCCCTCTGCCTCTGCCCCTCCCCCTGCTTGTACCCTCTCTCTCTGTCAAATAAATAAATAAAAACTTTTTAAAATTTATTTAAGAGAGAGGGACAGCGAGAGAGGGAACATAAGCAGGGGGAGTGGGAGAGGGCGGAGCAGGGAGCCCGATGTGGGGCTCGATCCCAGGACCCTGGGACAATGACCTGAGCTGAAGGCAGACGCTTAACGACTGAGCCACCCAGGCGCCCATAAATAAAATCTTAAAAAAAAAAAGAATATTAGCCTAAAATGCCATTCCCCTCCCCCTCCCTGCCTTCCTAGATCCTCTTTCCCAAAGTGATTTCTACCCCCTCGAAGCCTGCGACCAGCCCCTCCCGCCACGGGCCAGTTTCCACCACCTGTCATAGTTACTGCATTCTTGCCAATCACTTCTCATGTTCACTTTCTGACCAGAATATTTGTTTCTGGTTTTGTTCACAAATGATGTTGTGACTAAGCCTGAATGGGGTTTCAAAACGTAATCCTTAGACCGGAAACTTCTGAGAACCAACATATCCTGTCACACTGGGCTTTAAGACTTGACATGAAATGTTAACATTCCTTCTGGAGATTTACAAACTGATAAAAGGCCAGTATTCACAATACTTTAAATTCAAAATACCTGAAGGCTTTAAATCCAAGATGAATTGGATTCATAGTTTTTCAACTCCTAAAGTGTTAAGGATGTCAAAATAATTCAGAATTTGATATGAATTACAAATCCGTAAAGATAGAAGGAACCTAGGAGGCAAGTGGAGGTGGCCAGTCTCCCTTCCAGCCTAGAAAATGTTCCCAGACCTTCCTCGAATGGGGCTCACGAAGCCTCTGAAGGAGTGGAAAGCAATGTTGGCAGCTCTCGCCATCAAAAGACAGTCTGGTACGTAAAAAGTAGCTGTGGTGGTCAAATGTATATTACCACAATAAAAAAATGAGATGGAGGGGAAAAAAGTTGTTGTGCTGGGAGAAACAAAGCGTATTTTGGTCCCAGCTGTGCAGCCAAGACTCCGAAACTGTGGACTAGTCACATCTCCACTAAATAGGAGTTGGACAGATCCACCCTGGAAGTCCCTTGAAACTCTGACTTTCTAGGCTTCTACAGTTCTTTCTTTTTTAAGCTTAAAATTGCCTTTTTTCTTTGTATATAAGGACTCAAATTATCAAACTAATGGCACAGATCAAGTCAGCTCCTGAAAGTAAATGAACACAAAAAAAGGGATGTGTTTGTCAGAGCAGTCTGTGTTCCCCGAATGTCTGGGGTGTATGGAGGGGACAATGAAGAGAATCCAAATCCTGGAAGTGCTGGTCTACACTTGCTGCCAGAGGGCTTTACGGAGCTTCTGAGAAAGCATCCAGGAAGCAGATGTTTTCCAAGCCCACACCTGGCCCGTGCTTGATTCCCATAACCTTTGTCCCACACCCAGAGGGTCTGGACCTTCAACTCTGCCCTGTGTGTAAGGTATCCAGGAGGAAACACGAGTTATTCTGGGCTCTCTGCCCTCCTGGCCAGATGTTACAAAGTCTGGTTAGCTTCTACTCAGGACGCCCTGCACACATGCCCTTCTCCCACGATGCTTCTGCTCCGTCCTCACAGGACGCAGACCGGGGTCGTACCCAGGGAACGTTCATGTCCCTTGTGCCCAGCCCAGGGCCCCATCCTGGGCCGCCGGAGGCTCCGGGGGTCCTCCCGCTGGGGCAGGAGGGCCACGGAGGGGCTGGCGACCTGAGAGGCAGGAAAACAAGGAGGCGGGGGCCCACAGGTGAGGGGGCTGCAGCCCCGGACCCCGTCCCCACGGGAGAGTCGGAGGCGGGGGCGCACGAGTGAGGGGCTGCAGCCCGGGACCCCGTCCCCACCCACAGCCGCCCCTCCGCCAGGGTCCCCACGGGAGAGTCGGAGGCGGGGGCGCACAGGTGAGGGGCTGCAGCCCGGGACCCCGTCCCCACCCACAGCCGCCCCTCCGTCAGGGTCCCCACGGGAGAGTCGGAGGCGGGGGCGACGGGTGAGGGGCTGCAGCCCCCGACCCCGTCCCCACGGGAGAGTCAGAAGCGGGGCGCACAGGTGAGGGGCTGCAGCCCCCGACCCCGTCCCCACGGGAGAGTCGGAGGCGGGGGGCGCACGACTGAGGGGCTGCAGCCCGGGACCCCGTCCCACCCACAGCCGCCCCTCCGCCAGGGTCCCCACGGGAGAGTCGGAGGCGGGGGCGACGGGTGAGGGGCTGCAGCCCCCGACCCCGTCCCCACGGGAGAGTCAGAAGCGGGGCGCACAGGTGAGGGGCTGCAGCCCGGGACCCCGTCCCCACCCACGGCCGGCCCTCCGTCAGGGTCCCCACGGGAGAGTCGGAGGCGGGGGCGCACAGGTGAGGGGCTGCAGCCCGGGACCCCGTCCCCACCCACAGCCGCCCCTCCGTCAGGGTCCCCACGGGAGAGTCGGAGGCGGGGGGCGACGGGTGAGGGGCTGCAGCCCCCGACCCCGTCCCCACGGGAGAGTCAGAAGCGGGGCGCACAGGTGAGGGGCTGCAGCCCCCGACCCCGTCCCCACGGGAGAGTCGGAGGCGGGGGCGCACGACTGAGGGGCTGCAGCCCGGGACCCCGTCCCACCCACAGCCGCCCCTCCGCCAGGGTCCCCACGGGAGAGTCGGAGGCGGGGGCGACGGGTGAGGGGCTGCAGCCCCCGACCCCGTCCCCACGGGAGAGTCAGAAGCGGGGCGCACAGGTGAGGGGCTGCAGCCCGGGACCCCGTCCCCACCCACGGCCGGCCCTCCGTCAGGGTCCCCACGGGAGAGTCGGAGGCGGGGGCGCACAGGTGAGGGGCTGCAGCCCGGGACCCCGTCCCCACCCACAGCCGCCCCTCCGTCAGGGTCCCCACGGGAGAGTCGGAGGCGGGGGCGACGGGTGAGGGGCTGCAGCCCCCGACCCCGTCCCCACGGGAGAGTCAGAAGCGGGGCGCACAGGTGAGGGGCTGCAGCCCCCGACCCCGTCCCCACGGGAGAGTCGGAGGCGGGGGCGCACGACTGAGGGGCTGCAGCCCGGGACCCCGTCCCCACCCACAGCCGCCCCTCCGCCAGGGTCCCCACGGGAGAGTCGGAGGCGGGGGCGACGGGTGAGGGGCTGCAGCCCCCGACCCCGTCCCCACGGGAGAGTCAGAAGCGGGGCGCACAGGTGAGGGGCTGCAGCCCGGGACCCCGTCCCCACCCACGGCCGGCCCTCCGTCAGGGTCCCCACGGGAGAGTCGGAGGCGGGGGCGCACAGGTGAGGGGCTGCAGCCCCCGACCCCGTCCCCACCCACAGCCGCCCCTCCGCCAGGGTCCCCACGGGAGAGTCGGAGGCGGGGGCGACGGGTGAGGGGCTGCAGCCCCGGACCCCGTCCCCACGGGAGAGTCGGAGGCGGGGGCGCACAGGTGAGGGGCTGCAGCCCCCGACCCCGTCCCCACGGGAGAGTCAGAAGCGGGGCGCACAGGTGAGGGGCTGCAGCCCCCGACCCCGTCCCCACCCACGGCCGGCCCTCCGCCAGGGTCCCCACGCCAGTGCGGGAGAGTCGCACCACAGGGCCCCCCGGTGCACCCCCAATGCCGGCGGGGCGGTCCCCGCTCTCCCCTGCCGGCTCACCCGCAGCGACCCGCGATCCCGAGGGCGACACTGCTCTCCAGCAGCCCTGGATCCTGCCCTGGACCCAGCCGGAGCCCACGAGCCCCGACTTCTGATTGGCCCCTCGCGATCCCCCGCCGCCAATCAGCGCACACTACTGGGGGGCGAGGCTGGGCCGCGGGCCGCCCCGCCCCGCCCCGCCCGGCGGGATCGGGCATCTGATTGGCTTTCCGCACCCCTGCCCCGCCTTCTCCCGGTGGTCACCCACTCAGAACCCGGCTACCTCTCGCGAAATTGGGACTCGTGTTTCTGATTGGCTCCTCGAGATCCTGCCCCGCCCCCTGGCGGACGGCCACTCGGCCGGCTCTCTGCGCCCGAATGGCACCTGCAGCGGGGTCCGGCGCCCCCCGCGGCTCTGCGGGCGGTCTCCCCCGGGATTCGTTCGGGGCGTCGTGCTCTCTCCCCTCGCCTTGCGTCCGGCTGCCGCTGGAGCCCGTTCCCCGGGGCCGCCTTCGCCAGCGCGACCCGAGGAGGCCGGGCCGGCCCCGCCGGGAGTCCTGCCGCGGCCCGCACGCCCCTTCGCCGCGCCCGGCCACCCAAACTCCGGCTCGGACCGGCCGCTCGCCCCAGGCCCGCGGGCCGAGCCGCAAGTGGGGGCGGGGCGACGGGGCCAAGAGCGGGGCTGGCAGTCAGGCCGGCGTTCCTGCCCGGCGGCCGAGCCCTCCCCTGCAGGAAACCGCCGGGCGCCCGCCGGGCGCGGAGCCCGGGGGTCGCGGCGCCAGGCAGGACTTCTCGGCGGGCCGGAGCTGTGGCCTGCGGTGCGGTCTCCGTGGTTCAGTCGGTGCCCCTCCTCCGGTGCGAGTTCCGCACCCCCCTGCGGGTGGAGCACCCCCCTCCCCCCGGGGGGTCCACGTGGGGTCCTCCGGCCTGGTCACCTAGAGGTTCCCCAAGCCCCTGTCAACCTGGCTTCCTTCCCAGGTCAGTGAGGTTCTTCTCTGCTCGGCTCTCCTCTCCAAGGATGATGGGGGCCCGGGGGCTTTCCTGTCTGGAAATCCCTTCAGGGTGTCAGACCAACTTTGATTCCCATTTCCCACAACCGGAATGTGACTCCTCCTGGCCTCTCAAGGCCCTCAGCCTGCTGCTCCCCAGACAGCTCCTGACTTCCCTCCATGGGTCTGTCTACTCTCTGCTCTTCTTGGGAGGAGGGGATGGGGGTGTAGACTGAACCTGGAAAGTGTGAGAGATGAAGAGGCAGGGCTACCAGGTCCACACCGGCCCCTTTCCATCCAGTGCCTTCTTTAGATAGGCTGTTTTATAACCTGCCCTTTCATTTTTCTTTTTTAAGTAATCTCTACCCCCAGCGTGGAGCTCGAACTCAGGAGGGGCTGCAACCCGAGGGTCAGGAAAACAAGGAGGCGGGGTGCACAGGTGAGGAGGCTGCAGCCCCCAACCCCATCTGCATCCACGGCCACCCTCCGCCAGGGGAACACCATGCTTCAAGCACTGAGCCAGCCAGGTGCCCCCGCCTTTCATTTTAAATGCGCAACTCTTTGTCTTTAATAATATCCTCATGCATAAATCTTTCGTGCATTTCTGACATCCTAAAGATACACTGCTCGGTCATATTCCTGAATCCAAGAGAATGAACATTTCTAAGGCTTGTAATACATGCTGCCAAATCATGTTTTTCCTCAAAATGACAATACTGGATATCCTAGTGAAAAAAGCACCAATCTGGTAAAAAGATCCTGCCACTGTTGGATTAACAATTGTTAATCCCCACCTGGCCACCTGGGACAGGTAAGTAGGGGCTCTCAGAGATCAGTGTTCAACACCTGGAGGGAAACGAAATGAACCATTTGCAGAGTGAGACTGCAGACGTGACTTTATAAAATGTCCCGTAACACGTTAACAGCCCGGTCCATCAAAGCTCCTTTAACTGTATGTTGCAGGTTGCTTAAAGTGACATCGTCACCATACAAGCACATTCTGTGGGGACTTACTGGTGTAAGAGATGTTGCAGTTTTGACGTTATACTAAACACAAGCTTTTTTACAGACTGGTATTTTGGAAAATGTATCAGACAACTCACATCACATCAGAACAAACAGGCTGCAGCTCACCTAATTTATAACTAAAATCCCAAAATGGCATCAAGGGAGAGCCGTGGACACTGATGACACTTCCCTGGACTCCGGTATTCTAACAGCCCGTGTCGGCACGAGCCTTTGTAACGCACGCTTCGCAGAACATGGAACGGCAATCTTCAGAAAATTCTTAATCACGTACCAATCTTGGTTTATAAATACCAAAATCTCTACCCCGAATGTGGGACGTGAACTCACGACCCTGCGATCGAGTCGCGTGCTCTTCCGACCGAGCCAGCCAGGCGCTCCTATGAATACCAAATTTTAATAAACTTTAATTCCTCACTTAGGTTGCTAGTAAGAGTGGTAAAGGGCAGATATTCTTAGGTTACACACCATCGTTCCAGGATGGAGGCGCACGCCCTGCTCCCAGCTCCGGCAGACTAACGAGCGGCCAGTGGAGGGAGGAGGCAGCTGATCCCAACATTAAGAGGCTCATGAAAACACAGCATCTCCATCCTGCCTCCTCAAGAAAAAGCCGTTTCCTCCTGTAATTCACAGCTAATAGCACACCACCAATTCAGTCCCAGACGCTGACGTGAACATGAACTACCTGCATGCAGAGATCGTGGAACGGAGATTATGTGCAGTTCAACTGTGGAAGGACCAGCTCCTTCATTACATCTGTATGTAACGTGTAGGTGCAGCAGAGTGCTTTAGGACACACAAATTAGGGGGAACCAGGACCAGGAGGTGATTGTAGAAATTACATTTTCAGCGTGATATAAGTCTATTTAACCATCCAAAGGCAGCCTAGGGGGACCCGGCACAGTAGACCTTCCCCATCTCATGAATGTTCAGGGAAAGGTTGCCCGGCTGGCTATTATCTGTACCAGGGATCCTGCTTTGGGTAAGGGAACAGTCTTGTCACTGTAAAATGTGATTCTACGGACCTGAGAACCTGTTGGGACAAGCCTTGCATGGAGTTTGACTTCCCTCACGGTTCCCACGAGGCTACCCCTCCCCAGGATGAAGGGCCCACGATCACCCTGGTTTCCACTCCCATTGGCCCCAGACTGGCAAGAGGGACGGGGATGACCACGGCTCTTTCTGGCAGTCATAGCGGGAATGACTAATCTCTCAACATTTACGTAAACATCCTTGAAGAGGAATTTCTGGATGCCGTCCTATTTAAGTTACGGTGTTTTATTTTCAATCACCACAAAATATTTTATAACAAGAGGTATGTGATAATACAATTTTCTTTATTAAAAATAATTTACAGCATCAGTAACATATACACAATTGTCATCAACTGAACTTTGCCTCCAATATATTTTTATACAATACTTAACATTATTGAACTTAAAACTGTTACACTGTTTTGTTGGCTTATTAAATAATGGACAATGATTTCTAGTTACTTGAGATACATGGGTTCATAGTCATATATTATGTGTAAAATTGATAGAAACATCAGCACTGTCACACCTCAGGGGAAAAGCCTAAGTCTGTCTGCTCCCCGCTTTATTCCTCCAAGTCAATCAACATCCAGGATCGGAGCACCTTCTCCTAAACCTAAAGGCAAAGACAGATGTCTTCTAACACGACAGAAAAACATCAGTGCAATCGTGTCCCCTCCTCCTGTCACCCCCCTTCGAGAAGGCGAACGCGCTCGCCACGGCCCCCGTATGCCGGCGACGTCGGCGCTGGACACTCTTCCCGCGGAACCGGTAAGGCGATGCCCTGCCACGCGCTGAGCAGTCCGGCCACGGCGACTGTGACGCCCTCTCGTTCAGAAACCGACGACCACCGTCGCCTCGGACACGTTCAGCTGTGGTAACGCAACGCGGCGGCCGGGCAGAAGGCCCTCTAGTCTGGTTGTCCAGGAGCAGCAACACCAGAAGGCCGGAAACATGGCAACGGCAGGCGGCCGCGTTTTTCAAGATGAAAAAAGTGCTGCTCTTGCGAATGCTTCTGGAGCCGTACTCGAATCACAGCACTCGTTTACTTCTCTCTCGTGCCTACTGTTCTTCCCTTCCACAATATTGTGCATCTTTTTAAACACCAAATGACCCAGACACAGTCAACAAAGGCGGTAAACCAACGAAAGCATGAGCTGTCACCTCTGCACACAGAGCGCCTGGCCAGGGCCAGGGGCGTACGGCGCACAGCGGGGTGCACACCCAGACCCTCCTCTCCGACGCCGGCCACGCTCGCCAGGCTCCCTGCTCCGCTGTGTGGTCTGAGGTCTGCCTGTCCTGGTGCCCGACCAGGCAGAGGGGAAACGCAAAGGCTCCGCTCAGAGCGCCAGCCGGCACCAGCCCGGCCTCCTGGCCCGGCCGTTGGACCCCTGCCCACGGCCACGCCTCCGCCCACGGCCACGGATGACACAGACATGTCCCCACGCAGACGGTCTGAAGACACCGCCTCCAAGCATGCAACAGGGACGTTAACATTCGACTCGTCACTCCCCCTAATTCATGTTTTCATGTAAATTAAACACACGCATGGACAGATACATGGGCGAAACAACGTATCAAGAACACAGCATGAAAGTACCACAGAAAACAGTTTTGAAAAATTTAAATAAAGAAGGGAAATCATTTTCTCAGACTCCAGTCCACGTGATTGTCTGAACACAGATTTGCAGACTATTTTCAGAAGACTGAGATTGTGTGAGTGCTTCTGTGCCAAGTTCTCAGCGGTCTGCACCTCCCACTCTAGTAGTTTTGGCTAAAATTCAGCAGAACACAGTCCTTCCTTCTGTGCGGGACGTGGGATGACCGAGCCACAGCAAACCAACTGGGTCAGAGGAAGACCTCCACGTGAAAGAAAATCTCTACAATTAACCTTTTGCTAAGTTTAATTTCTTAATTTAAAAAAAGGCATAGAACTTTCTGGAATTAATTATCCAACCTTTTTCTTAAAAGTCGCCAAACGTCTTGTTGACAGAATAGACGTGTGTGTGGAGAAAGTAGGATATCCAGACAGCAACAATTTAAGTGTTTTATCCTGATAGCTTTGGTTAAAACAGAAACATAATTAATAGAATCATGCATCCCAGGTAAAATAAGGACTCAAAATGACGGAAAAACAATTTTTAAATACTTAAGAAATAACTAACATTTAAAAAAATGCTTAGAATTGAGCAGCAACCATATAATCTAGGGTGGATAATTTAAAAGTCTAGTGGAAATCATTTTAGCATTTAAGATTAAGTTCTCTTTAGCAACTACGAAAGTGTGGAATTTGGGTTAACAATACCTAAAATAACAGGTTACAGGAAGTAATGGTATCACATCAAGTGAGCAAAATGCTCGAATCCAATTGCTAGAATACCATCTGAGGCTGGCCAGTGGGCACAGGAGCAAATTACCGGACACGGTGGGCTGTGTATGTTCACTGTTCAGACGTCGTGCGACCCAAGCCCCAGGTCGTGTGTGGAGGGGCCTGGGCCAGACGGGACACGAGGACTGTGTCTGGGGCAGCATCGAGCCCCCGCAGTCAGACGGACACTAGGATGACCCCGGCTTATACTACAAACTGTGAATGCCAACCAAGTCCAGCTCAGGTCTGAAAGTCCATTTGTAAATGAGATTCCAACTTCCACAATTTTAGAGCCTAATCTGGCTTCTTACATTCCAACCTGCTAGTCTTAAACCAACAAACAGTAGTATACAGTTTTATGGGTGCGAAACCAAACAAACAACTTCAGGAAGATTATTCATGTAAGAATCTTCAACACAAGTTCAAATTCTGCCTTTATTTACAAAATGGTCTGTTAAAATACCCCGTACTTATAGGCCTCTCCCACAGCACACCTCACACGTTGATTCGAGCAATGTTAATAGCACCATTCGTAGATTATTTAAAATCAGAAAGATTTCATTTCAGTCACTATGTTGATTCATAATCATTTACACCCATGGTGAGATCGGTGAGCGCACGGGACCGTCTGCAGCTCCAGGGCGAGGTTCCCTGGATCCAGCACAAAAGGCGTTACTCGCAGTTACCAGTTCTCAAAGGGTATCCGTGTGGAGTAGATACTATGAGAATTTTCGTGCCACAAAGTTTAATAATCCTCCATGTTTGTACAACGTTACTTCCACGTCATTTTCAAACGAAGCAATTGCGCTGAATACTTTCCCAGTGTTTGTCTTTAAACAAACAGAAACACGTCATGTGAGTGGTAAAATCGTCCAAGTGTCCCCAGTGTTCAGACCATCTGTCTTCATACCCCACGACACCACCCGCCAGACTCCACGAAACCCTTCTCCTGCCGGAAAAAAGACCTGCCATATCTAACCACGGGCTTCAGAGCCAAGTAGAAAAATGGGTATTTTCATCCCTACTTCTTACAGGCTCCACACCCAGGGCAGAGCCCAATGTGGGGCTCGAGCTCACGGAACCTGCGCTGAGATCAAGGGTCGGACGCTTCACCGACCGAGCCGCCCAAACGCCCCTTTGTCCCCGTTTCTGAATGACAAGTCCCGTATCAGCTAAAACGCTAAACCAAGTGCTGCAGACACTGACTAGTTAGGGACGTTACACCCACTGCTCACATCCACTGTGTATTAACCATTCAGCATGCGTTAACGTCTGCCCCCCGTCCCTGCGCTCCGCCCAGCGCCTGCTCCACTCTGCCCCCCGCCGCGGCCGTGTGCCCGGCTGGATTCCAATCCCACGGGCACGGCAGCAACGGGCAGCCAGGCAAAGGCCGCGGGCACATGCTAGCGGGCGGCCGTGTGTCGTCTTGTTCTCTGGACTAGCTAGCGCTCTGTGTTTCCTGAGTCTCCGCTGCATTAAGTCAGGCGTCACAGGAAACAGCCACCTTAAACCACAACGTACGTTCACTAAGTCATGCTACTGTGCACTGACGATCATTTCTCTCCAGCTTCCACCTAGCTGGGTAAACAGCGTGCAATCGCATACTTGAGAATCGGGGAGGTACCTTTATAGTTAATGTAACTCCAGGAGACAGTTCTTCAGGAAACGCTAAAGAAAACGTTTCTCTGCCGGAGAGGCCCAGGGAATCTGCATTTTCTCCCGGAAGGAACTGAAGTGGAGCTATGCCAATTCCAATCAAATGATCTTTGTGAATCTTTTCGTAACTTTCAGCCAAAACAGCTTTCACACCCTGTAACAAATGTGCATTTTATTTCTTCCAATCAGCTCTTCAAAGTTGCTTTATTGGACCATTTTCAAGGGAAAAAATTCTACTTTGGGCTCCTTCTGTAAAACTTGTTAACCTAATACCACACGCTAAAGGTCCGTGCTGTACAGATGATTTTTTTGTGTTTTCAGGCAGCTCCCTAACTTCTTCTAGCCGCCCCTGTGCCCTGCAGGGCTGAGTGGGCAGCACCGGTCAGGTAAGAGCACCCTGGGGGGGCGGCGGCCTGGCTCCGATGGGGCTCAGGAGGGTCTGTGATCCCGGCTGACCCACATATGTGCTCGGCAGCACTCTCCCTCGGCCTGCCACATGAACACAGAAACACAGAAGGGTGTCCCACAGTGACAGAGGAAACAGGAGATGTGGATTCTACAAATATTTAGAAACTAAGTGACCCTGAGCAGACGCCCAATGACAGAAACCACCAAGTGGATGTAGAGAGTGACACCAGTTAAAGTTTGAGTCCATTTCCAACAACAAAACCCTGTTCTCTGGAGAAAACAAGCCAGAGAGGCTCCAGACCCATGATTCTCAACTTTCCCTACTGTCCTCCTACAGAACCTTTCCCGGACCTTCTCCTCCAACCGTATCTTCCCCCTGCTGCTTGCCCTAAAATTTTAATGCCACACACACAGACCATGCATCTGTTTAAGTACTATGTATTAATCTGTACTCCATTTACAAAGAGAGTGACATGCTGTTACCACCCAGGAATCAATTCTCAGCCCTGTGAGTGCCATCGCCTGACAAGAATGGAATGGATGCCCTGGACCGAGGGGGCACTGGGCACGGGGAGGTGGGGGGAGCACGCCATCGGAAACGCACATTAAGTGCAGGTCTGCGTCCCTGGAAGTACTTGCAGACACCGCACATGGGGCTCTCCCAGTCCAACAGGCGGGTTACTGTCCACACATCTACATAAGGCCCATCAACGGACAAAACCCAGCCGACACCCCCAGCTTGGAAGCAG